CTTCTATTGATAGTGCACTAGTTTTCAATCAATTAGATGCTATGGTCCCCCAAATATGATCATACTCATGTGAGAGAACCACCACATCCTAAAATTTAAAAGGCATCTGTTTTTATAAACACACAATTTATATACTGAAAAAGGGATATTATAAAATATATCTAATTTAATAGATTAATTACTAACTAATATTTTTTTAATCACAATTGTTTATTCATTTATTTATTTTAAGCAAAATTTGTATTTGTTATTTATTTTAATCTTAGTTTTTTTTCCTCTAGACTTTTCCATGGACCCCCTGTTACTCTTTATCTAATTTAATATATTTAATAGATTAATAACTAACACCTTTTAATTAATTTAAATCACAATTGTTTATTCATTTATTTATTTTAATATATTTTTTACTTATTTATTTAATCTTTTTCTCTAGACTTTTCCATAGACCCCCTCTCACTCTCTTGCGGCCCCCTGTAGGTCACTGGACTCAAGTTAGAAAACCCCTGGTCTAGTAGAATGCCGTTTTTTTAATGCATTGAATACAGGGCCATTTTCCCCCTTGAGTTTTGTCTTATATTTATCATATGATATAGTTAAATATTATGATATAGTTAAAACAGTTCAATAAACAGTAAGTTAGCATTTTGAGTTACTTTGTCAACAAACATTTCCAAATGAAACCACAGCAAAACTGTTTTATGTCTCCGAACAATACTGAATCAATCTGTGTTTTGAACGAATTGGTTTAATGAACGATTCAATGACTGAATGAATCAGCCGTTTGAATGAATGACTCAACTCATTAAGACAGTGACTTGCAGACACTCACTGGCAGTTTTAGTTTCATATTTAAAGTATCATTTCATTTTTTTTAAATGATTTCATAATTAAACTTTAAAAAAAAAAATCTAACTACATTATTCATGCAGTGTAAATACATTCAAGCCACCTCTGAGCTGCATTAAACAGTCTGTATAAATACATCTAAATGCCACTTCAGGTGCAGCTTCTGTGTCACCTCTGTTGTGCAAAGATGGGCTGATTTCAATTAATTGATAACATAAATATAACAAAATGCCATTATAAGGGTGAAAGGCTCCTGGAAGCTAATATTACCTTGTAGTGAAAAAGTTCATTTCTGTCACTGCTGTAAACTAAATATGACAAATATAAAAAGCTTCAGAGTCTGTTGTCAATGACAGGCCTAAACCAGTCAAGCTACCAGCACAAAAACCCCAGAAAATATTGAGATATACATTTTTGTCAATATCACACACACCCCAATTCTTTCTAGAGATACAAGTCCCAGGCTCCATTTTACTGCAGAAACGTCAAGCCATTTGTAGATACATTATGTTATAATATACATTATGTTATCCAGACAGGAAGAAGAGGTGAATCGTAGCAGACGGATGGATAAGTTCTTATCAAGCAAAAGGGAGTACAATCACGTTCACACCATCAACAAATCTCCCCATAGTACCAACAGCATTTCCTTTGCTATTGAAGAGGCTGAAAAAGGGTAAGAGTCTTAAACTTTTTTTTATCTGTGTTTTTGGACTATTTGTAAAATTCTGATGAAATGATAACTCAACATGTTATTACCTGGAAGATGCTTATTCATAACAAATCTGTAATAACACTGTGTTACTTCATCAGCAATCTAAAGAAAGCCAATATTAACATATCAGAGATGACCTGGGAGCAAAAAGAGAGAGTTCTCAGACTGCTCTTTGCCAAAATGAATGGCCTGAAAAAGTAAGTACTTAGCAGATACTGAACTGTATTTTGGATGATAAACAATTTAGCACAAATGTTCAAATATATGTGGCCTTTTAACCTTATTAGGCACATGAAACCACATTAAGATAAATGGTAAATTACTAAGTCATAATCTCCTAAATTAATTTGGTACAATTAACCTTGAAAAAAACAGTTGGTGAAATGAAGATAGTGATAATGACCATAGTAAAAATAAATAAATAAAAATTATCAAATCCCAAGCTTATTGGCACTTCTTAGTTTAAGTAAAAAAGGAAAGAAAAAGAAACTGACTCAAAGGAGTAGTAATAAATGTGTATTTTCTTGTATTCTCATTTTTTTCGACATTTCTGAAGGAAATCAATTCATGCTCCAGATTCTGATTGGAACCAGTGTAGCAGCAATCCAGGGTGAGACATGCCAACAGATGAATGGTTTTCTGGCTGATAAAACCAGATGAAATCATTTTTCTAGTGTAATTTTAAAGGGACCCTACTATGCTATTTTAAAGGCTCCTCGTTTTGTTTTGAAGGTCTCCTACAATAGGTTTACATGCATCCAAGGTCAAAAAAATATTTTTCTCATAATATACTGTACATTGCAGAATTACCTCTTTTCTCACTGTCTTTGAAACGGTTTGATTAAGGATTCAGTGTACCACTTACAGCGGATGTCGGAAACAGCGTCTTCTCTTCTTGACAAACCAAACTCTTCCAGGCCTCATCTACAACAACATTGTTTGAGGGCGGCGCAAAGTAAACGTTGTTCGCAGGCAGCCAATTATGACCATAGGCTGGCAAATGCAAATTTGATACAAACCTATTGAATGGCTGATGATTAGTTTCAGGCAGTTCAGAATCAGTTCTTTCTTTTAGGAGACAATAACTTCATTTATCGTGCACTTTGATCTTTGAAACTTTGCAGACTTTTTACATTCCCAAACAGCTATATAACACAATAGGTGAGAGCTAATATCCGAGCTAATATATGGGCTCTTTAATATCATTCTAATTTTAGTATAATTCATTAACCCTCTGGGGTTCTTCGGACCAAATGGACCCGAAGAATTTAAATAAAAAAATGTGTAAAATCATAGCTTCATCGGAATGGTCCGAAATTTGGTGACTTTGTTGGTACTTGGTATATGAACACCCAAAAAAATTGGGGACAGGAGTTGAATAGTCTAAGTGGTTGTAAAAAAAATGGTAAAAAAAAAAGATGTGCAAAACTCACAAGAATTCTGAACCCTTTCTACAGAGAGCTGTAAATCCACTAGTGGTAAAAATGTGCTATTGCGTGATTAAAATGCTCAGTGTGTCCAGCAGATGGCATCCATCTCATTTCAAAAATTGTTTTCATGAGGCCTAGGCTTGACTCTAAAATTAAATACAGCTTTTAAAAAAAAAAAAAAAAATACATATTTATAAAAAAATTATATTATATTCAATGGGAAAAAATGGGTCATAATTATTGCATAAATATTAATTATAAATCATAAAATTTTCTCAAAACACCAAAAAATAAAAGAAAAAAAATTATAAAAAACAAGTAAAAAAAATATATATGATTTTCTTTTAATAAATATGAATCAAACCCTTCCGGACCATTTGGTCCCGAAGACCCTGAGTGTGACCCTGAAATGAAGGACCCCAGAGGGTTAATCAATACAAAGTGCAAAAGCATGTCAGTTCAACACTTCCATTTGACTGTAACATTTGTTGTTCTTTTCGTTCTGCACCATTACACATATGGTGCGTCCCAATTTCTCATACTCATGCACTATTCTATGCTATTTTGTAGTATAAATAGTGCAAATAGTGTGTACACACTGAAAATTCCAAAAAGAAGTGCTGTTCAAATACCCGGATGATGCACTCAATTTCGCACGTTAAAAAATAAATACGACCTCACGTTATGTCAATCACTCTTGCACACTGCCTCCGAAACTTTCGTCCGTCATAAAAAAAATCGAATCGGGTTCGATTTTCTGCGTTTTTCGCATCTGTAGCAAGAAGTTTGAATGGTGTTTTGACAATTCAGAGCCACCGAATCACGAATACGAAAAAACGCATATGAAAATTTCGGACTCAGTGTGCAAGGGCCTTAAGGCTTGTTGCTTTTCTGTTGCGTATCCTCAATCTGGCAACCCGCATGAGCGTTGATTCTGAGGAGGAGGGGGCGGGGAAACAACTCTCTCCAATATTTTGAATTTGGATTGCAGTACCCATTTCAACCACTAGCTGTAAATATTACATACTGCACCTTTAAGTGCACAAGTACATAGTGTATAGTGCACAATTTGGGACACATCTATAGACTCATATTGCAGTGATCTGTCTTGTCTTTTCCACAGGAATGAAGAGGAGGAATCCCATGCGACATTTTTAACCCAAGCAGCAGTTTCCAGTATGAGCTCCAGTGATAATTCCAGTGCTCTGCCAGACCTGTAGATCACCTGACCTCATCACAGATAAGAGAGCTAAATAATGTCAAGTAAAGTAAAGTTGAATATTACATATGATACCAAGAAGTGTTCATGAATGTCTATACCACAACTTAAAAGGAGACACAAGTTGTTGTTTTTTACATGTAGAAATGCCCGCGTACCAATACTGATAATATTGCCATTAAAGATTAAACAAATTCCGTAAAATAACTGTATTTAGGAAAGACTTAAAAAGTATTTTTTTGGTTGCAAACAAACAATTCGTTTTTTGAGGGAGTATGATAAAATTGTTATCATGCAAGCTAAATTTCCTTAGTAATGATGTATTTTTGAAAACGTAAGAAATACTGTACTACTTCATGTAAGTGTATTATATTAAAGTCAGCATTCAACTGAAGTTGCAATATTCTTTTCTTCTTTATTGTGATGTATAAACAAGTGAAACGGCTTCTCGAACAAGATAAAGTTTGGGCAGGAATGGATTTTGTCTATCAGGAATTGACAGTTTTTTGTCCTACCTCTATATTTCTTTAACCATTTAATAAGAATCATTTTCATTTAACAGTAATTGTACTGAACTATGAGTGGTCAGCATGTTGTCAGTCAGTACAGTTGACTGGTCGGATCTACAGATCATCAGGATGGCGTTACAACATGACCTCCCTGCACAGTGACAGTGCTTCTCAAGTAAATATAGAAGACTATTAATAGCATCATATACACACATACAGCAAAACAGCTGCTCAGTGACCAAGCAAAGCCAGAACCAAGATCTTCAAATCAAAGCCAGACTGACTTCAAAGGACATATAAAGGTAAGAACATAAATTCGAACTTTTTCATATCACAACTGACCTTGTGTACACATGTTTCTTTGTTTTAAACAGAATGGGAGACTTTCAAAACTTTGAACAAGACTTCTATCAGTCTGGATATTATATGGACAGTCAGCAGGAAGAGGTATATGGCTATGATCCAGCCTACGTTAATCCAGAATACCATGATGTGTGAGTGTAACGTTGCTAACGGCATACATGTGTATGATATACCATTTATTATATGAGCTACTTGTTTCTGTGTGCAATTTAATTGTTAGTTGTGCAGTTGTGATTCATTGTTTACCATCTGATTATCAGTGATAATTCCGCACACTTAGCAGATGAATATACCACTACAGCATCTTATACTGGACAAGTGTATCAGCCTGTAGCGCCACCCGAGCAAACAGACTGCATAGACTCATATGAGGAAGAACCGCCACTCTTAGAAGGTAATAACAAATAGTTTATAAAAAAATATCTTGCACCACCAAATGGAAAAGAAAAAATATATATATAATTTTATGCATTAATCAACCTTAACAGAAAATACACTTTTCAAAATGAAAATATATGTGTATTTTTTCTCAGAGTTGGGCATTAACTTTGACCATATCTGGCAGAAGACTCTGACAGTGTTAAATCCACTGAAGCCTGCTGATGGCAGTATTATGAATGAGACAGACCTCACTGGGCCTATTCTCTTCTGCGTTGCCCTGGGAGCCACACTATTGATGGTACAAACTACACCTTGAACCTTTTACGAAACCATAACTAGAGGCACACTGTGATTTATATTGCACAGAGTAAATGAAAACATATGTAATGTCCAGAGCACGGACCTGTGTATTTGTGTGGACTCTCTCCGCAGGCAGGGAAAGCGCACTTTGGATATGTGTATGGCATCAGTGCTCTGGGATGTGTTGGGATGTACACGCTGTTGAACCTGATGAGCATTTACAGCATATCCTGTGGATGTGTGGCGAGTGTACTGGGATACTGTCTCCTGCCAATGGTTTCGCTCTCTGCATTTGCTGTTGTTTATTCACTTCAGTGAGTATCCATAACTCTATAGAAGCATTTTCCATTCCATTTCTTTGATTGTTTTACAACCACAACTAATAAAAAGGCCACTAAATTTGTACAAGTCTATTTACATTTGCCATACACTTTTAAAAATAAAGGTTCTTTATTGGTGAACATATGAAGAATCTTTAACGTCCATGGAACCTTTCCATTGCCCAAAAATGAATAATTATATTATTAAGATATCTAGTTCAGTCATGAAACTGCTGATTATTCCTTTACATGCAATCTGCAAGCTATCTCACCATGGCACAAGCTGATTGGCCATTGCTGATTCTGCAGCCAATGAGATTGCTTGCTCAGCATTTAAATAGTTTACAGTTATAGAAGAGTGTGTGTGTATCTAATAGCAGTAGCAGATCAAGTCTGTCAAGACCAAATACATTAACTGAAAAGATCTTTGGGGAACCCAAAACAGTTCTATGGCATTCCATACGAAAACCCCCATTTGAAACCTTTATTTTTAAGAGGGTATCATTTCAGGTACATTGCATTTGAATAACAAAAGGCTTTTATTTTAATGCAGAGGGCTCTTGGGAACGCTGTTGGCCTTGTTTGTGGTTGGCTGGTGCAGTCTATCAGCCTCTAAGATCTTCAGTTCCACTCTTAACATGAGTGGGCAGCAGCTGCTGGTGGCATATCCCTGTGCTCTTCTGTACGGGGTCTTCGCTCTCCTTACTGTCTTCTGATGAGAACTCAGTTCAAATGTGAACTATAAGAAATTATCACTCTAAGATCAGATGAAAATCCAGTGCACATAATGCGCATTGCTATCAAAGTGGCAACAAATTTTCATTTACTGTAAATCAGGATTATCAGATGAATTAAAACAAAACTATTATAGAACTAGGTTAGCAGAATCATTTTTTGATATTGGAATGCACACATAATCAGATACTATGAACTCAGTCACACTAATTTAATGCTAAGCTTGATCCTAGAGAGTGAGAGAAAGTGAATTTCTATCACTCTCTGGGATCAAGCTGAATAATGCAATGGCTAAGGTAAACCATTTTCAAGCCTTATACTATCTTATTCATACAAGATCTCGACCAAAAATGTATGCACCTTTTGGTGGATATAAATATTGATGTTTTTTCCATCAAGAGGTGCATACATTTTTGGTCAAGATCTTGTATTGACAATGCAAGAGTCCACACACTAAAGACTTTCAATGAATTTAACGTCTGTGAAAATGATTCTTCGTGCTCCATACATTTTTAAATGTTGGGCCTGATGAATCTTGACATTGTCATCTTGGAATATGGCCATGATGTGTCTTTCTACATGGTTGTTTAAGAAATGAAAAGTTACACACTCCATCAATTAGGGTTAAAAGTCAAGAACTGTTGCCAAACTTATAACATGCTAGAAACATAATCACTGCTATAATGATCAATTCATAGACTCTTAAGCAATTACCTATTTAAATCCAAACAGTGACTTTTTTTCTGGATCGGGCAGTGTATATAATGTTTATTCTTGTTCGTTATTGTTTATATTTATGTATGTGGAGGAAGCAGCTTTTTTGTTTGACTTAATTTATAAAGTTTAAGTTATTAAGTTAATTGCTTATGCATAATTATTCAAAAATTAACATTCAAGTATTAACAAAAATAAAAAAGTTTGATGTGACTTTTTTGTTTTTATTGCATTAAAACATAACAGAGATATGTATAAAAAATCTTATTTTCTAAAAAAAAATCACAATAATTTCAATCACAAACAACAAAAGGTAAAAATAAAGAAAATGCACCCCAAACATATAGGCAACAAGAACATTCCAAGCAACCAGTTGACTTTACATATCCCTTTGGTTCCTTTATTCAAAAATGCTTTTGCAAAAAGTTAATATAAAATATATTTACAGAACTACAATATACACAAATATTGAAAATCACATAAAAGCAAAAACGTTGGCCGCTGTTCATCACTTTCACTTGCTTAAGCCTGCTGCACATCCACCCAGGGTGATGCCCTATTTTGTGACCCAGCATCCTCTGCTGCAAGCAATCTCATGGTCTTTTAGGCCGGTTCAAAATATGCGAGTCCTTTGAGAGACACATATTTATAGATATTATAGATCAATGGTGTTACAGTCCTCAATAATATAACAACTGGCAACTAGTAACTTAGTAAGAGTCTTAATTATAAATAAATCTATAATTTGCTTATGTCATGAGGACAAATAATACAAATTCATTTTATTTTTTAAGAGTAAATATTAATGTAGGCCTGCGGGTTAATTATAGTAACAGTACATTGAAAACACTGCCAAAACATACCTAACTGAATTTATTTATCTTAAAAAGTCTTAATTTCTTAAAGTTCTAAAAATTAATTTTGTACAAAAACATAAATTGCAACACAAAAGAACTTCTTTTGAAAATTAAACTTTTTTACAAGTGAACTGTAGTTTAAAAGCACAGGGTGCAGTTATTTCATATTTTGTATATTTGCTATTAAGTTCAAATGTTTAAATATAATAAGAAATAATGAGGCATCATGTCCAAACTTTTAACTGGTTGTAACACTTGGAAACACTGGTAATGAAATATAATAATTCTTATAATAGGCCTAATAAACAATCCACTGCTAATTTGGAATAATTAAGCAGGAATTAATTTTCCTCCAAATGTGGCAATAAGACATTTGGGTACATTTCATGAAATCAACCCGAAATCAAAAGGTAAAATTATATATAAATTATGTAATGCATATTCTGTGCGTTTAGTGTTTAATTGTCATAACACATCGCAGAAGAGTCCTATAATCCTACATGCTTTTTTTTTTTTAAAAGAACGTTGTGATTTCTTTTTTTTTTATTTTGGGGTGAAATATAACCTGGGCGTTCTTGAAATGTTATTCTGTAAACATAGCCTCTTTCTTACTGCAATTAGTCAGTCATTAATTCTAAATGTGTTAGGTTCCCTTTTCCAGCTATAGAAACTCACCCTTACGTTTACATCTGTTTCATGTAGGCTATTAAATAATTATATTGCTCTAAATAAAACTTACCCCGTACATTTTGGACAGGTTGTTAAACAACACCTGTCCCGCGCTCACTTTGTCTCTCACACCCCGAATAGTTCCGTTCTTGCTGAAGATGTTCACGCGTTTTCCGGTGAAAAGCTTCTTCTTGGTTGCACTAGCGTACATGAGCAGCTCGTCGGGTTCGCTGCCGCTGTCGTCCGGTTCTGGTCCCGGTCCCGCCAGGCCGCTCAGATGGCTGTTTGCCTCCGTGATGACGGGCGAGCTCACGCGCTCTGGCTCAGGCTCAGGCTCTGGCTCTGAGCTCACAGTGGTGTCCGTGTCCGCGGAGTCTTCGAGCGCGTGCTCTCTGAACACCTCCTGAAGCACGCGACCACTGTGCGCGGATGCCACGCGGAACCTCACTCTCCTCTCTGCTCGGTCCTCCTCAGCCCTGCATGTGCGTCGCTCCATTCTGCCTTAAAAAATCTACATTATACAAATTTTGTTTGCCTGAAATTAGAGTGTGCTCCTGGATCTACCCAGATCTTCAGATAAAGGGTCCGTGGCACGAGGGTGTTAATTCGACACCACATTCTTTAATATTTAATAAACGTTATCCATGGAAACTGTGGAAGCCGACTTGTGTTCTCTAATGAATAAAATATATCTCAGGTGTGGGTCAAAGAAGATAGTTTGTTTGTATAACTAATAACAAAAGCACCTGAAGTGTGAAATTGTTGTTTTCCCACTTTTGGGGAAATTATTGGGCTAGAGGCCTCTTGAAATTCATATAGCTACTTCAGTAATGAGCAGATCCATCTTGAATTATATTACTTTCCATATTGACATGAAAAATATACATTCACCGGCCACTTTATTAGGTACACCTGTCCAACTGCTCGTTAACACTTAATTTCTAAGCAGCCAATCACATGGCGGCAACTCAGTGCATTTAGGCATGTAGACATGGTCAAGACAATCTCCTGCAGTTCAAACCGAGCATCAGTATGGGGAAGAAAGGTGATTTGAGTGACTTTGAACGTGGCATGATTGTTGGTGCCAGAAGGGCTGGTCTGAGTATTTCAGAAACTGCTAATCTACTGGGATTTTCACGCACAACCATCTCTAGGGTTTACAGAGAATGGTCCGAAAAAGAAAAAACATCCAGTGAGCGGCAGTTCTGTGGGCGGAAATGCCTTGTTGATGCCAGAGGTCAGAGGAGAATGGCCAGACTGGTTCGAGCTGATAGAAGGGCAACAGTGACTGAAATAACCACTCGTTACAACCGAGGTATGCAGCAAAGCATTTGTGAAGCCACAACACGCACAACCTTGAGGCGGATGGGCTACAACAGCAGAAGACTCCACCGGGTACCACTCATCTCCACTACAAATAGGAAAAAGAGGCTACAATTTGCAAGAGCTCACCAAAATTGAACAGTTGAAGACTGGAAAAATTTTGCCTGGTCTGATGAGTCTCGATTTCTGTTGAGACATTCAGATGTTAGAGTCAGAATTTGGCGTAAACAGAATGAGAACATGGAACCATCATGCCTTGTTACCACTGTGCAGGCTGGTGGTGGTGGTGTAATGGTGTGGGGGATGTTTTCCTGGCACACTTTAGGCCCCTTAGTGCCAATTGGGCATCGTTTAAATGCCACGGCCTACCTGAGCATTGTTTCTGACCATGTCCATCCCTTTATGGCCACCATGTACCCATCCTCTGATGGCTACTTCCACCATGTCACAAAGCTCTAATCATTTCAAATTGGTTTCTTGAACATGACAATGAGTTCACTGTACTAAAATGGCCTCCACAGTCACCAGATCTCAACCCAATAGAGCATCTTTGGGATGTGGTGGAACGGGAGATTCGCATCATGGATGTGCAGCCGACAAATCTGCGGCAACTGTGTGATGCCATCATGTCAATATGGACCAAACTCCCTGAGGAATGCTTCCAGCACCTTGTTGAATCTATGCCACGAAGAATTGAGGCAGTTCTGAAGGCAAAAGGGGGTCCAACCCGTTACTAGCATGGGGTACCTAATAAAGTGGCCGGTGAGTGTAAATATCATGTTTTAAAAAATAAATATAAAAAAAAACATGTAGCCTATAAGTGGCCCTAAAAAATATTTTAATTCCATTGCATTATACAAAATATCAAACCATGTGGCAAACATAGAGCTTTTCTCAGAACTAACATCAACTTTTGTCAGTCAGAAAGTGTCCTAAATGTCAGAAACAAATTTCATAATGTGAAATGTTTTTAATAAAAGTATATTACTGTATTTCCTTAAAATAAATCTATGCACTGTTTCCTTTTAAAATAATTTAATAGTTTCATGACATATATCACTTTATTCTGTAAAACCTATTTAGTTTGAATTAATTTGTACAAATTTTACATATTTATACACATTTAAATAATACATATTATTTTATGGTTTATTATCTTAAACCCCCTAAATGTCAGGTGGTGCAACTGTACGAACAAATGAACAGACTAAGAAAACTATTTAAAATGGTGTCTTAATAAAAATTTTAAAAAAATTCTATGGCATAATTTTAGGTTTGAAATCTTTGATATAAACAAATTTGATAAATATCAGTAGTTTCAAGGCTCTTGAGATAATTGAAAAACATTTGTCCAGTAATTTGTATATTCTCAAATGTCAGGGTTACACAGCAAATATTTTTTTTCATATCTTTTATAATGAATTGACAAGGTAATAACAGTAAACATGATAATGCATCATCCAGAAGAGCCCAACTGATCCTTGTGGCAGTGTGACAAGTTTTGTAGATCTCTCTCAAATACTGGTAAAAACTGCTAATTCCAAGTATGGGAAGGTTGGTACACTTTCCATGTCGTGCGGTTCAACTACAGTATACAACAATTTGGTTGTACTACCTGACATAAAAACAGTCATACAATGAATTTGAATAGGTTGAAATGTTACCAACTGAAACTTGTTGAAACATATTGTTCATGACTCAAAAATATGCATTACATCAGTTTTGAAAAGATTTTTAAAAACCTTTTTTGAAGCTTTATTTGTCAATGACCCTTATACTTTTTGGGGGCTACCGTCCCCAAAAAGGGGACATATAAAACATATCCTTTTGACCTTATAATGCGAAGTCAAGTCACCTTTATTTATATAGCGCTTTTTACAATACAGATTGTTTCAAAGCAGCTTTACAGAGAGATAACAGGAAAATAATGTTGTAATAATATTGTTAAATAGCCTATAAAATGAAATGTCCCCAAGAAAGCCAAAAGTCAATGGCGACAAAGGCGAAGAAAGGCAACAGTGGCAGGAACCAAAACTCCATTAGGTGACAGAATGGAGGAAAAAAAACCTTGTTAGAACCCAGGCTCAGTCAGGGGGCCATAGTCCGTGAGGCGGGGAGAAAATTGGTATAAAAAAGGGCACCAATTCTAATGGTTATTTTTCAAAACAGGCATGCCCCCTGACCACAAAAATGCATGATAGCAGTGCCATGTAGGTAGCTTAAGCCTTAAGGTATGAAAAATACCAATTTTACATTTAAATGTGCTGAAAATTTCTAATTATGCAAACTAAATCTCAACATTGATAAACTGTTATATTGACATATCTATTGCTTTAGATCTTCTCATTTATGATGAGATATCACTGTGAAATTAAAAATAAAATAAAATATATATGCTCTTTAGGACAGAAAATATACAAAAAAATAAGGAAAATATAACACAATTTTGGAATTATATTAACAAAAAATAATATTTTGTGCAAATATGGTTCAATATATCTCCCTTCGAACGGTCATATGTATTGCGTAGCTATACGCTATGGGGAACCAACCCAATCACGCTGTGCTATGATAAGAGCAACGTCATCTTAGCATAAGGGTCCGAAGGAAGGGCCTTTTGGCATGACGTGTTGAACGGGCAAAAGCCCTAATTATGATGGGCCTGGCTCACTGAGGCTGACTTCATCACACAGAAAGGATATGTGCCTGCAGTGCAGGGACTTCCAAGTTATAAAATCTGGCGTAGATGGACTGCGAGGACCAGCCGGCCACTATACATATATCGCCAATAGATACTCCACTTGACCATGCCCAGGAGGAGGCCATGGCTCTAGTGGAGGGAGGTGTGATGCCTATGGGGCATTGCAGGCCCATAGAGGCATATGCTAAAGCCATAGCATCCACCAGCCATGCGACCACCGAAGCTCATAAAGAGCTGCTCTGACTGTTTGTACTGAGCGGAGCGTCTGTACCGGGCAGAGTAGGTGTAATTGCTGCTCATCTTCCGATGTGGGAAGAGCAGAGAGAGTGATCACTTGTGCTTTAAACAGGGTTGAATGAGTTTGGAGAAAAGTATCAGTGACACCTCACATTGGTTTGGGTCTTGGTGACACTTCACATGGTGACACGAGGCGTCTTTGTGGACGGAGCTCTAGCCTCGTTGATTGTGCTCAGGACACTCGCTGAGAGCTCCACTAGCTCCCGTTGAGGGGCCACACGTTGAGGGCCCATAGTTTAGGACGGGGGGTGCCAAATCTTCCTGTTCGCCTAGGTCTTTCCTCAGGGGTATTGGCCATGGGGCTGCTGTGAGCAGCAGAATCAACTCGGGGAACCAAGGTTGGGTCCGCCAGAGAGGGGCCACTAGTAGGACTGAGTGTCTGCCCTCCCTGATCCTCTTTATGACCTGAGGGAGGAGCAAGACTGGAGGAAAGGCATACAGAGGAAGGCTGGGCCATTCGTGGGCCAGCGCATTCCTGCTTTTCGAGAAAAATATTGGGCAGTGAGAGTTGTCTTTGGAGGCAAAGAATTTGACCTCTGCCCTCCTGAAAACACTCCAGATAATTTGAACTGTTTGGGGATGGAGGGTCCATTCCCCTGGGACACATTGCCCCGGGACAGCATATCTGCTTCCTGGTTCAGTTTCCGTGGAACATGCGTTGCTCTCAGCGAGCGCAGGTTGTTTTCTGCCCATAAGAGGAGACTTCTGGCCAGTTCGTACAGTCGTCTCAACCTGAGCCCCCCCCCCCCCCCCCCCCGGGCAGTTTATATAGGACACTACTGTTGTATTGTCCATGTGGATCAGGACATGGTGACCTGACAAACGTGGTAGAAAGGTTTTAAAACCACCAGCAATTCTAGGCAGTTGATATGAAACCGTCCCTCCGTGCTGGTCCAAGCTCACCCCTGACTCCAAGAGACTGGGTTTCGACCAGGGCTCTGGTGCAGCCGTGGTTTACCCTGATATAGAGATGGCTTTAGCGCCATGATTGGGGGGAAACCTGTGGTTTTAGCCAGTACTGCAGTATGTGTAGCATACTCTGCGGACGTACTTATGAAGCAGAGGCCATGAGGCCTAGCATCCTCAGAAAGGTTCTGTGGGGACTCTTGGTCCCCGCTCTAAACGAGCTTGCGAGTCGCTGAATAGCCAGGGAGCGTTTGTTCGATAGGCACGAGTTAAAGAGTTAATGAGTTAAAGCTGTACACCACTATGTTTTCTGCAAAAAAAAAAAAATCACAATAACAATATTTTTTAAACAAGTTAAAATTTCGACAAAATTCCAACCTAGATATCACCAAGTATGAATGTTTTGGTACCAAAAATAATGAATTATAGAAATAACCGACCGTAAATGGAATTTGCCAAATGTTTGGGGGGTCAAACATAAATTGGTGATTTTTTTACCTTAAGCTACCCACTAAGAATTGCTATCATGCATTTTTGTGGTCCAGGGACATCCCTCTGTTGAATAAAAAAGAGTAGCATTGGTGCCCTCTTATGAGACAAATTTCTGAAATTTGTGGGTTTGCCTCACGGACTACCAGTTCTCCTCTGGCCAACGAACGAACAGTGTATGATTATGATTACACCGTGATGGCGCTAGATGGCGATGTGACTCCAGGGTCCAGTGCGCTGCTCTTTTAATTATTCCATAGAGTGAGACAATCCGGAAAAACAACACTGAGAAATGTGACAGTGTGGAAACGGAACCACCAATTATTCAACGCTTGCACAAACGAAAGGAATTGCATTGGCATCGCATGAACAGGAGGACACTGTGTCTGCGTCTGGTGAACCAGCAGTACACATATTAATGCAAACTGGTTTGTTAAAGGCATTCATTCATGAAATCGTATTAGACAAAAAACTCTGTGCAAAATGTTTCTGTTTTCAGTGCTCAAATTACTAGTCAATTAAGCGAATAGCATCGTGAATATAGACTAAATGCATTATAACAGATGAAGCTCCCATAAGATACTACAGCACTCCCCAAATCTCTTCAGTTAAAATCATTTTAAAAGTCTTTATGAGTGTCACTGTCATCTGTTATGGTGTTACCTTTAAATAACCCAAACCTGTTATATATGTTCTCATTTTCCACTTACTATTTGTCTGAAATCTCTTCATTTGCTTTAATCAATAGGTTAAGATGTCATTATGGTTGCCACTGCTGTCTATGGCCTCACTGGGGCGAGGTGTGGACTGCCCGCAGTTTTGCTTTGCCTGGCAGCTCTCCTTTGTGCAAATCTGCTGCTGTATTTCTACCTAGATGCCCTGTATCAGGACACTGACCCTCTCTCAACACACACGCAGTGCCCACTTCGCCACTTTAAAGTGGGCACAATGACCGTCTGTACTCCTTGGCTACGGTGCCCGGAAATTCGCGCTGAGGTCCGCCGTGTGAAGCTCATCGGACAAGGGGCTGTAAAGAAGGTGAGAAGTTGCAACTAACTATTGTTTTGATCAATTAATCTGTTGATTACTTTCTTGATTAATTGAAAAAGATATATAAATTTAGTTCAAATATTCATCGGCCAACATTTGAATCCTTTTTCAAAATGTGCAATTTGAAGGCAATAAAAACAATTATAGGGAATGCTATGTACAATTAAACATTATGTGCAAAATAGGGTTCAAATTTTAACTAATTGCTTACCATTTGAAAGTAAAAGTTTACTGGTATGAGGTAGGAGCATAGACTGCAAAACAAAGGGTAGGAGGAGCACACATTTACTCATAGCAATTAATAATAGATCAATAACTTCCTACTCTACCTTTAACCAAAAGCCCATTCAAAAAGCACATTGACTTCAGGAAGATGCAATTGGAAGTTCTAAAATGCTAACTTGCTCCTTTCTAACTTACATAAATACATCATCCTAACAGGTCTCCATAGAAATGCGTTGTTCACTGCTATAAAGTGACGTGACTGCGGATTTAACTGCGCACAGTGTGAACTGCTAGTTGTCGATTATCATTATCGATTTTATCGATTAGTTGTTGCAGCCCTACTTTTCTTAATACATCCTTAGAGACTTACACTAATGCATAATTGTGTTTTCTAGGTTTATCTGTCGGAGTGGCGAGGGCAGAAGGTGGCGCTCTCTGTCTTGTCATCAGAGCAGTATACAGATGATTTCCTTCACGGACTGTCAATGCTACGTGCCTTGCAGAGCACCCACGTCGTGACGCTTGTAGGGGCGTGTGAGGAGGATGGTGTGTTTGTCACGGAGTACCACCCTCTTGGATCAGCGCTAATGCTCGATGCCACCCTTTCACAAGACCGATATCACTGGCGAAACTCTTGGCATACTCGACTACAGCTGGCAATAGACTATGTTGCCTTCCTGGCATACCTGCACAGCAGTCCAGTGGGCATCCGAGTCATGTGTGACTCCAACGACCTGCACAAAACTCTCAGCCAGTTTCTTCTCGCATCAGATATGCATCTTTTGGCCAACGACCTGGATGCGTTGCCTGAGGTAGAGAGGGGAAGCCAAGGGGTGAAATGCGGTCACCATGAGCTCAACGGGGACTTTGTTGCCCCTGAGCAATTGTGGCCTTATGGCGAGGATGTTCAATTCTCAGATGAAGCCATGCCTGGTTACGATGAAAAGACGGACATCTGGAAGATTCCAGAAGTGACACGTTTCCTTTTGGGGAATGTCCTGGGAAGTGATGTCATTCATTTCCACTTGTTTCAGATCTACACAGAATGCAAGAGGAAGGAGCCTCACATGCGGCCCACGGCACTCGAGATCCTCAGTGTGTATCGCTCAGTATTCGACAGCATGATAGAGAGTCAATCGCAGAGAGTTAGAGATATGTTGTAGAGTTATGGTCATTAAAGGGAGTGTTAAACCCCAAATTATTTCATTAATCAAAACCTGAATGACTTTGTTTCTTCTGTGGAACGCCAAAGAAGATATTTTGAGAAATTATCCATATAGTGGAAGTCAATGGTCACCAAAATGGTTTGGTTACCAACATTCTTCTAAATATTATATTTTGTGTTCCACAGAAGAAAGACAGTCATAATTTATTTGGGTAAATAAATGATCCCTTTGACTTTAAGAAACTAAAGATACCAATGCAGTACAATGGGTTTTGTCATACTAGTATTATCTGGAACTGAAAAGAATATGCAACAAATGTATGACTGACAGAGGATGAGATGCAGCATCTCAGGGTTTCATATTTTAATTCAGCTCCTTCTTATGCTGACTAATACGTTTTGCATAACTATACCTCATAAAAGTTATTTTCAGTTAAGTGAATAGAACTTACCTTTCTGATGCAGTGATTGAAGTGATCTTATTTGAATTTTAACAATGATTATCATACACAATATCTGCTTTGTTGATATTTTTTGTTCTCAGAATTTGAAAGGCTTTAATAAATAATTTTCTCAAGAACACACTGGGATTGTGTTGTCAGTAGTTGTCAGACGCTTTCGAAGCTGCTTAATTGAGCTTTGAAGCATTTATGAATCTTTTGTTTCGAATCAGTGGTTCGGAGCTTGTTTTAAACTCACCAAGTCACGTGATTACGTCATGCTGTTTTAAAACGTTTCAAAATGTTATTATTTGTAGGTTAAATTTAAAACATTGTACTTTCATGGAAACATTTGCAATTGATTTGTAAAAGGTGTTACATGCTTGTGCTGAGCTGTCGTTGAATTTACGCCGTTTTGACCAGCAGGTGCTTCTAGCCTGCGGTGTTTGGGTGTTTCGAGTAAATCGAGCTACGTTTCTTCACTTGCTTAGTTGTCAGTCATGTGAATGAATCAACCATAAATGACTAGATTTTCTGGAAATGGATTTTGTAGCGCTGTTTGATGGCACGTCGCCTTGTCTTATTATCCTAATAGAAAATTAAATGTAAGTCTGTGAGTGAATTTTCAGTCAGTGAATATTGTAAATTGATAGTCACCGAAAGCACTTCGAAAAGTTACAAAATATTAGCACATATGGACATTTAAAGTTAACACAACCCCAAAGTTAAAAGCTTTTTCATTCCTATATCGGAATACGTGCGGTGAGCACTTTGTCTAAAAAAAGTGATTAAAATAGAAATCATTTAACACGGATTTAATTTATTCAGAGAAGGAACCGGAAATACGTAGTCTGTTGTATCCGCACACATCCGCATGATTCTAGTGGTTGTATTAATGGATGTTTAAGCAGTATCTGCCCACATTGCAAGACAACCTGGCTCGCATATCCAGTGACTGTCCCCCAACTGCAGGAGGGTGAGTTTGGAAGAGTCTCAAAACGGAGCCGCCTGAATCATTCGTGCAACAATGAGCTCGGAGCAGCCGAGCGACAATGAGGAACCCGAAGAGCCGCGCGCTGATGTGCTGCGCGAGGAGGATGAGGAGAACAGCGATGAAGACAGGGGCTCCTCCACGAGACCATCATCACCACAAGCGGGCCGTGAGAGTGCCGAAAAGCAGGGCAGCTCGAGGCTCGAGTTGGCCGCAGACGACGGGACGGGCTCGGGATGCAGGGGCTCGAGCGACTCTCTGTTCTCGTGGATTTGCAACAGGACAATCCGTAGGGGGGCGTTCGTAGACCCCGCGCGGGATCATTTCCGTACAATGACACGGCTTTATAAGTCCATGAGCCCGGCTACGGATTCGATGAACCTTAGTACTCAAACTCACGGGGCTGTCTTCAACTTGGAGTATTCCCCGGACGGGTAAGCGCAGAGTCTGTGTTGCCCTTGTCATGAGTCCCGTAACGTTACTCAGTCTAGTTATGAGTGTCTCTTCAATTATGTGCACTTTTTACTAAACATTAAAAATATGTCGTCTTGGTTAAATCAATCGTATTTTATCATATGTGCTGGAATACATGGCCTTGAGCAATTTTAGTGTTTATTTTTATTTTTGGTATTGTGTGAGGTAACATTTTCAAGTTACTTGATACCATGATTAACGAACAGTCGAGTCATTTTTAATGTATAAAAATAAAAAGAAATTTAGTTTTTGAACTAAATGTGATTGATTAAAACTGATTGATTTAGTTATGACAACTAATTTAAGGCCTGGTTTCACAGACAGGATTAGGCCTTAGTTCAGTTAGGACATTTAAGTAGCTTTTATAAACATGCTTTAGAAAAAAAACATTACTAGTGTGAATCTTGAGACAAAACAATGGCACTGATATATTTTAAGATATGTCAGTGCAAGTTGCTTAGAGCTCAATTATGCATTTAGAATTTTAGACTTCTATGTTTATTTTCGTGGGGAAATTAAAACGTCTGGCTAGAAAAGGGTGCAAGGGAAAGGTTGATACAGAAACTATGTAGAAATAATAAAAATGAATTAGATAAAAAAATAGATATTATACTAGACAATTAGAAAATGTCAGTGTAGAGAATGTTGTCTGTTTAAAGATTAAAGCAATGCATATCACTTTCGCTATCTATTCTATATATTGAATTTATCATTTCTTAAGCAAAACATGTTTATTATAAGATGCATGTGGTACAAAAAAGTTCCCCTAATTGATAAACACCCTTATGTTTTTTTTTCTAGGTCCGTTTTGACGGTTGCTTGTGAGCAGACAGAAGTGCTCTTGTTTGACCCTGTTTCTTCCAGACATATTAAAACACTGGTGGAGGCTCATGAGGACTGTGTAAATAACATCAGGTACATGTGCACACGTCATATTATCGATTGCAGTGTGTGGGAACCTCAGTTATGTGAGCGAAAGCCCTTTTTTATAACAGCAGGTTTTAATGTACGAACTAATTCAAAACCATTTGCATAATGGAAAATATTGTTTTTCTATCTCTTACACACACACACACACACATATATACACATTATACTGTCTAGCACCATCATAAAGTTCATGAGAATGACCGCCATGTTGTCTGTGTGCAAAATTGTTTGGTTGATGATGTGTACTATTCAGGTTTCTTGACAACCGGCTGTTTGCGACCTGCTCTGATGACACCACCATTGCATTGTGGGATTTGCGGAAACTCAACTCGAAGGTGTGCACGTTGCATGGCCACGCCAGCTGGGTCAAGAACATTGAGTATGACACACACACCCGCCTGCTAGTGACGTCAGGGTTCGACGGAAATGTCATCACCTGGGATACCAACAGGTACGTGTAGTGATATGTGGTTAGTAGGGATGGGCATTTTTCAAAAACATTGCATTCGAATATTCGGGCTCATAAAAATAGAATATTCGAATATTCGTTTATTTAAATGACGTTTAACGAAAAAAACGTTATTTTTTAAGTTAAATTTTTTTTCACGTTTTTGTCACCACTTCTGAACAAGCTTACAATTAGGCAATATACACAACAAGCTTACAATATATGTTAAAGTTTTCTTTTAGTTGAAAACATTAAATAGTAGGCCTATGTGTAAACAAAAAATATAAAAAAAACAAAAGCATTAATAAAAGCATGCTTAAGCAGCGCGAACGGGGGGAAAAACACCTAATAAAGCAGATTGCGCCAGATATCGTACAGAACGTACACACACACACGAGTCAGCATATGATTATCGTGTTTATATTGTTTCACGTTTTTATTGAGAAAAACAATGTCCACATGCAGGGGCGCCGCCAGCAATTTATGCTCGAGTGAGAAAAGGCGCTTCTCTGACAGACGCTTCAGAGACACAAAGATAAGGTGTTCTAAGTTTCTAACAGCACTTTGCGTTTTCTGTTCTTAAACCTGTCTCCCTCAACGAAACTTAAAGGAAGTATATGTCTCAAATAGACATGTGCCGGTATTCGGTAATGCGATAAATCGCGGTAATGAATATGCACGATATTGTTATCGCTGGGACTTCGAAATACCGTGAAAAATAATAGATCCGAATTTAGATTTTTAGAACGCGCATCAGCTTATTTTCCATCAACCGCTTAAAAAACAATGCGTATGCTGTGCAAAACACGTGCGCACTTTGATGTAAACAATCCCCACATCACATGTATAAGCACTGTGTGCATGCAGTGCGCACTCTAGTCTAATGTAAACAATCCTCACATGGAGAAGAAGCACGGCGGAAGGAGGAACGCTGCCGACTATTTATCCCCCGCATGGCTGCCAACTCTCACGCATTCAGCTTGAGACTCACGCAATTGACACTTTCACACGGTCTCGCGCCACACATCCATTTTCTCACGCAGAGAAAAATCGCGGAGCAAAGAGGACACTGACACCGACAGACTAGACAGAGCAGGTTACTTTTGATATGAAAAAAATATCAGCTCTCAGGTTTTATAACGAAATTCAGACAATAAATACTGTTTTGGTGCTTGTAAATGACGTGACAGATCGCGCGCCTCAGTTCAAGTAAACAGATCATCTGTTACTTTTTATTAAAGATACAGTACAACCCACCGAAAGGTACGTACTTTCGATCAATCAGTGTTTTTCAACCACGGAAAGAGGTCAATAAAACTGCAGGAGAACAATTATGTCACAGAACGTTACATTTACCTCAGGAAAGCCATTTAATGTTAGTTGACTATAAGAAAATAGCTATAGAGAGGAGTATTTTGCTAAATATGTGCACTATATTACATATTTTAATATATGTTTACTTGTCATTATATAATTGTTATTATAATGAAAATTACGGCATATTACATTTTTATATTTATATTATTATTATATTTATATTGAATGCATTATATTTAATTTCTCTCTGTATGTTTACAGCATTATGTGAGATATATTTTTTCTTGAGAAAAAAATAAATGCAGGCTATCTACTGTAGCCTACCTAATATTTATCCAAATGAGTCAATATTGAATCAAGATTGAAATTAAATCCAAGAATTTAATTGAAATCATGAAAATTGTGTTAAGCAATAATACAAACAGTAGCCTCAGTAACTGTACCATGTAAACATGTTGTCACTAAAAAATAAAATTAATGTTTTGACAATCACAATTACACATTGTGATGCAAGTTTTTTTTAGATACCCCCAATCCGTCTGTTTCTCTTGTGCAATTAAAATATCGTGATAATACCGTATACCGTGATAAAAGCTCAATCAATTAATCGCAGCATGAAAATTTGATACCGGCACATGCCTAGTCTCAAAATCATTTTGCTATAAGATAAGTTATCATTTCGGATCACGCGGGGTCCAGCTGCGCTTACCTGCAGTTGTGAATGCAGTGATGGACAGCTGTCTTGCCTCATTCGACTGTTTGAGTTTTGAAGTGCAACATTAAATCCATGTTCATTCACGGCACAATGTTTCTCCTGGTGTCCACGTCAGCGCTGTTTGATCATCTAATAGAGATCTACGGTTAATAACAGAGAAATGTGAATGCTTCTCACTAGATCTCGCAGCGATGTTATTACTTCAGTGGCGAATTCAAATGTTTTCTTCACTGGATCTCTTAGCACAGTGTCGCTTGATCTCGCGCTGCACAGATGTTGCTGGTCCGAACTGATAAACGGTCCGTGAAGCACAATATAATGAGTAGCGAAGATTCGTTCCGCTTTCATTACGTTTGCCATTTGATGTTGCGCAACGTTGTGGTGATCGCGCCAGCGCGGATTTTGTCTGCAGGAAAAATGGTCCTAGGAATCGTTCGGTTTGTATGCGTACCGAACCGGAAGCCTTAGTACCGAAACGGTTCAATAATTACGAATACATGTACCGCTACACCCCTAATTTACATATATCCGAGTCCTGATCGGGAGGTAACGTCCGATTCCGATCGAGTCTGAAACCACGTGATCGGGCCCGATTTCCGATCGCGTGATCGGATCGGGACATCCCTATTCCAGACTGCGACCGTTTTTTGAGAATGTGCGAATTAAAATTGTATGTGGTCGCATTAGTGCGAGTGGACGCTCGCGCAACAGAATGCCGCTGTATCAGCTGCTGCAGTCCGTTACGTAACTTATGTTCAAAATGAACGAGTACATCATGAATCCATTTTCCAAACCGTGTTTTTGACTTATCCTGAATCACTATGGTACGCCTATAATAATAAGTGTTTATATTCTGACTATTTTATCCCGGGCTCGGCTCGGCTGCGGAGTTGCCCAGTGCCTGCGTGACTCGCCATAGACGAGAAGTAGCTCCGGCTACAGTGTTCTTCCGCAAGACACGTGCAGTTTATTTATTGACGAACGTAGACGTCACGCGCATTGCACACTGATGGTGAAACGCGCCAATTACGAATTCAGGAATTAAGGCATATAAAAATGAAAAGGTCTCACGAAACACCGAGCCCCTTCCTACGTCTTTTCAGCGGTTAGATGAGAGTAATCGCTCCACAGAGGGAAAGGAAATTATTATAAAATGCAGAAGGTAAGGAGTGTGAGATTTCTGATTTTTGTTACAACTATAAACTTTGATAACGAAAATCTGTATCAGCGTATTATAATACTCTAATCTTTTAAAATGTAATGCATACATTTGAATGTTTAATGATTTTTAAAAGATAGAAAGATGATGCTGATAGAAAGATGATAATAGACACAGACAGATAGATAGATATAATATAATTCAAATGTAAATAGATATATTGTATACACTCTAAACAATGCTGGGTTGTTTAAACTCAAATTTGGGTCAAATATGGACAAACCCAAATGTTGGGTTAAAAATTTAATTTTAACCTAACTTTCACTTTCAACTGTAAAAATGTTTTATTACATTTTTAACCCAACATTTGGGGTTGTCCATATTAGACCCAAATTTGGGTTGAAACAACCCAGCATTTTTTAGTGATAATTCAAATGTTAAATGCTTAAAATTACAGATTAAAATTACTGTCCAAAATCCATGAAAATGATAATTATCATATATTACATGTGTTTTTATATAATATATTACAGGTATTTATGCTGCAACCCAGAAAGCCTTTGCTAGCCTTGGTCCATTAAAACCACTATTCATCAGCATGCATTGATTAATCCCATGGCATGTAGCAAAAAAAAAAGGTGCGACCAAATCATATGCTGGTGCGACCATTGAGAAAGTTGGTAGCACCAGTGGAAAAGTTAGTCTGGAGCCCTGGGACGTGATGTCACAAGATGCGACCCTAAAAGTCGGAATGCTTAGCGATACCTGGTTCTTCTTGTCAAAGGAGCTATGTTGCCCATTGCAGTTCGGTACAGGCGTCAAAACTATTGTCTTTGCTGCAGATTTCATTTGACTGTTTTTAATCCTTTGCACATTTTACAAGCTCTTCGTGAGTTTTCAGCTCATAAAAATACCATGATATGAACGCACATACAAGTAGCACATTTAGCCTAGCACTAGCATTTTCTTTTTTGGTCTGGACCACGAGAACCGAACTACAAGTGTGAACACGCACCCTAAGATTTTGTGTTTCCTAATCCTTAATTAGGATTTCATGTACAAGTATGTGCCTCATAGTACTTTCTGTGCATTTAGGTTCACAGAAGATGGCTGTCCACACAAGAAGTTTTTCCACACACGCTATCTAATGCGGATGCGTCTGACTCCAGACTGCAGTAAGATGTTGATCTCCACATCCTCTGGTTACCTGCTCATCTTACATGACCTTGACCTCACCCAGAGCCTTGAGGTCGGGAGCTACCGCATCCTACGGGCCCGTAGGGCCCCGCTCAGCACAGGTACATACATAAAGCATAAACAAATAAGGGATATGTGAGTTGGACATGAAGAATGCAGAGATCTGAAATCAGGACGACATGGAAATGGATTAGTATTCAAAGGTTCATATTTGCTACAGGCAGCATTGGGCAAAATTCAGAAATGTAAGAATGGTCTTCGTTTCAGTTCATGAGTTGGAATTTAAACAGAATTTTAATTGACATTTACTGTACTGCGATTCAGAGATATTCAGCCCAAAGTCATTTGAACAAGGGAATTCATTAATCCAACACCATTAATACTAATAGTTTCTTAGCTGTTTTATTTAAGGTTTCCATGTTGTAGAATTCTTTGTTGTTAAGCTCCATTAAGATAAACTTCTTAGATAATCATCATATTAAGATAATCATCTTAAAGATCGTTTTGGAAATGCTTTTCCGCTGGTCCATAAAACTAAAGTGAATTTATTAAATATTATGAAATGTATGTAAATGTCAAATATTAATTATTAATAACATAACAATAATAACATACACTACTGTTCAAAAGTTTGAGGTTGGATAGATTAAAAAAAAAAAAAAATGTTTTTGAAAGAAGTCTCTTATGCTCACCAAAGCTGCATTTATTAGATTTAAAAAAAAAGGTAAAAACAGAGGTATTACAGTTTGAAAGAACTGTTTTCTATTTTAATATTTCAAAATGTAATTTATCCCTGTGATCGAAGCTACATTTTCAGCATCACTCCAGTCTTCAGTGTCACATGATCCTTCAGAAATCATTCTAATATGCAGATTTGGTGCTCAAGAAACATTTCTTATTATTATCAATGTTGAAAGATGTGCTGATTAATATTTTTGTTTAAATGTTTTTTTTTTCTTTAATGAATAGAAAGCTCAAAAGAACAGCATTTACTTGAAATAGAAATATTATAGATGTCTTTGTCACTTCTGATCAATTTATTGCATCCTTGCTCATGCTGAATAAAAGTATTAATTTCTTTCTTTTTTTAAATCTGATCCCAAATTTTTGAACGGGGGTGTGTATAATGATAACATGTTCATGGGTCATTCATAAAATATTAAGTAATATTAGTTATAAATATGAATTATTATTGAAAACTGCAGTTGTATAAATTTAATATTAATAAAATAATTTTGGATTCAATTTATTCTATTTTAATTCTACTTCCTAAAATTTAGCTTATTTTGTTTGCTACCTCAGGAACTGAACTGGAATTTAAAGACATAGTAATTCAGATCTGAATGGTGCAAAAACCTATAAAACAGCCTGATATGACAGTGAACTATACAGGTGAAATAGTTGGCGAATCTTGTGCCAGCAGCCATTTCACCCTGTAGCCTAAGACTAGTAGCCCACTGAAGCCAAGCAGGGTTGAGCCTGGTCAGTACCTGGATGGGAGACCTCCTGGGAAAACTAGGTTGCTGCTGGAAGAGGTGTTAGTGAGGCCAGCAGGGGGCGCTCACCCTGTGGTCTGTGCGGGTCACAATACCCCAGTATAGTGATGGGGACACTGTACTACTTTAAACCGAGGCCCTGACTCTCTGTGGTCATTAAAAATCCCAGGATGTCCTTCGTAATAGAGTATCATCCCTATATATATATATATACTGATTGGCTTCATCACTCTGTCTCCTCTCCACCAATAAGCTGGTGTGTGGTGGGCGTTCTGGTGCAGTATGTCTGCGTCGAATCTTCCAGACGGATGCTGCACATTGGTGGTGGTTGAGGAGATTCCCCCTTCCATATGTAAGGCGCTTTGAGTGTCGAGAAAAGCGCTATATAAATGTAACAAGCAATTAATGGAGCCTATTATTATTATTATTATTATTATTCATATTATTATCCTCTTTCTCTCAGAAGGTTCATCAGCAGGATCCAGGTCAGGTGGTTCTCGTCACACCATTGACAGCAAAACCCATCCACACAGAGAGGGTAAAGCTTTAGAATGATTTATGAAATTTGTACATGCATAAGTAGTTTGGTCTTTTTTTGTAAAAAATTTATGATTGTACACTTTTCTTTTAACCAACTACTGGTTTTACTACAGTTTTTTTTTTTTTTTTACTCCAGTGTTCACATTTTGTCTTTGCCCAGGTTTGTCACCCAGAAACAGTCTTGAGGTTTTAACCCCAGAGATCCCGGGTGAGCGGGACCGTGGGAACTGCATCACCTCATTGCAACTGCATCCCAAGGGCTGGGCCACACTGTTACGCTGCTCCAGCAACATGGACGACCAGGAGGTTAGTGATGGAACCTAAACCAAGTGTGGAACGTACAGTCTGCCAGGAGAATGAATTTCAACTTATTTCTGTTTATTTCTTTGTTTCTCAGTGGACGTGTGTGTACGAGTTTCAAGAGGGAGCTCCACCTCGACCACCAGTGTCTCCTCGCTGCTCTCTGCGTCTCACGCACTACATCGAGGAGGCTAACGTAGGCCGCGGCTACATTAAAGAGCTGTGCTTCAGTCCTGACGGCCGCCTCATTTGCTCGCCGTACGGTTACGGCGTGCGTTTGCTGGCGTTCGATGAGCACTGCGCTGAGCTGACGGACTGCATGCCTGTGAGGACGGCTCTGCTGCGGGAGGTCCGCTCCATCTACTCTCACAGCGACGTGGTGCTCACCTCAAAGTTCTCACCCACTCACTGTCAGTTTGCATCAGGCTGCCTTAGCGGACGCGTAGCTCTTTATCAACCACACTTTTAACACATACACTGATCGCTGAACTATATCCTGCAAATGGCAGAAGCTTTTGATGTTTATGGCGGACAATGGGAGAACGAAACTACCTTAAATGGAGTATTTTTGTGTGTGTGTGTGTGTGGTCACGCTGCATGTGAATGACCTTGTACGTTTTTGTCATTTTTAGATGTAATTGTTCTTTACACTGTGTAAACTCTGAACTTATCAGTCTATGCGAGAATGAAAGCAAAGAGCATTAGTTTTTCTCCATGATGGAGGATGAATGAGTCACGTGAGCGTTAGAGAATTGTGGAATGTTTTTTGTTTGCTCATCCATGCAGCACTGCAGTAAACGCTTAAGCCAATCATTTTTATGGAACTGTAACACAGTTTAAGGCAATTTTTGCATTTTGCCAAACATTTTAGAACTTGACAATGCCATATTCATTTTCAGAAAAAAAAAATTCTGAAAGTCACTTTTACTAATTGTTTGTATTTACTTTTGGACTGCTTGTCCTTAACACTAACCGAGGTCTGAGTTGTAGATTGTCAATGCAGTATGTACCATGTACGTGTGACTATTGGGATGAATATGACTTCAGTCGATGGTTTGATTTTTGAAATCTTCTGATTTCATATGCTTCTGGATTCTACATGGACAATCAGCAGTTATGAAATGTTCTGATGCTCATGACGCACATCTCTGGTCATAAAAACAATGGGATAGAGCAGTTTTGATGCAGGTTTAGCTGATGGATGCGCGTTTTAAATGGCTGGACATGATGAGATTTGCCTTCTCTAGACCTACATAGAGGACACAATCTGAATGTTCAGCTTTTCTGGGACTATTATCAGTGGTTCCTCCTCCTTAGCAGTTATTTAAATAGAGTGACTGTTCTTAATTAAATTTAAAAGCAGAGTAACAGTAAAAGTTACCATAACTTTATTCATCCTTGATTCTCATTTGATTCACTCTATTCATGTTGAAATTACTAAGGATGCAGTGCTATAGATTTATTAAATAAAGAAAGTTTTTCATAGCTTGTGTTTGGCTTTCGGGAAGAAAAATGCTGTAAACAAAAGAGCTGTTTAAGATTTTTAGGAAGAACTAAAACTTGTATTAGCATTCCTTAGACTGATGGAGTACACAGTAAATATGTAGGCTATTGGCGTCTGACTCGCCTAAACAGATCAGGGATGACACTCCTTTTAAGTCAAGAGCTGCATTGGTGGGGAAAAAAAAGTCAACTTGTGTCTGCTGAATTTTTGTGAAACTCTGGTGTAGATCATACATATAAAATAGAAAATATATGGAATTCATTAGTTTCATATACCAGATGGTTTTATGCTACTGTTCAAAGTTTGGGGTCTGTACGTTTTTTTTCTGCTCACCAAGCCTGCATTTATTTAATCAAAAATACAATAAAACAGTAATATTGTGAAATATTGTTACAATTAAAAATAACTGGTTTATATCTGAATACATTTTTTAATTTATTCCTGTGAAAGCAAAGCTGAATTTTCAGCATCATTACTCCAGTCTTCAGTGTCATTCTAATATGCAGATTTGCTGCTCAAGAAACATTTCTTATTATTATCAATGTTGAAAATAGTTGTGCTGCTTAATATTTTTGTGTAAACCCTGATGTATTTTATATTAATATTTTGTAACATTATTTACTAAATGTCTTTACTGTCACTTTTGATCAATTTAGTACATTCTTGCTGAATAAAAGTATACATTTCTTTAAAAAAAATCTTGCTGAACCCAAACTTTTGAACAGTAGTCTATGTAACTAATTGAAAGTATACAATTACACAAGTATACAATTGAAAGTAAGGTGTGTAAAATAAACTGGTTTGAAGTGTGTAACCCACATTAAAAGTAATCTAGAAATCTTAAAAATGACCAAGCATAAATGCAACATTTTGAATCAAGATATCCAACTCACACACTGGTTCTCCTTTCTTCTTCATAAACTTCATTACACATTTCCACGTGTAATTGAAAGAAATGCTCTGATACTGGAACAAAGCTAGTTATAAAGTGTAACATAATGGAGATGAAGCATATTTCAGAAATGAATAAAAAGGTAATCTCACAATTCTGACTTTTTTCCTCGGAAATTGTGATATAAACTCGCAATTGTGAGATATAAACTCATAAATCTGAGAAATAAAGTCAGAATAGCAAGATATAAACTCACTATTGAGAGAAAATGTCAAAAATGTGAGCTTCCTTATTTCTCAGAATTGGACTTTATTACTAGCAATTACAAGTTTATGGGGCGGTTTCCCGGATAGATTAAGCCTAGACCTAGACTAAAATGGCCCTTTAAACTAGATTAACAGAAATCTGCTTTTGCTATCATGGCTTTAAATACTCCTAGATTTAGTTTAGTCCAGAGTTTAATAAGCTGATTTCCTGGAGGAATATTGAGTTACTCCATGACTAAATTGAGTCTTAAATTAAACCTACCAGGAGGGAGGTTTAACTTCAGATTAACATTGTGTTGGATTTCTTTGAAACCAAGAGGGCATCTTGTAATCTTTCACTTAAAAGACTCACCACAGATTCCATTAAACTCTCTGTAACTCGTCACGGTGTTCATAGCAGAGATCTAATACAGCTACAAAATGATCTCAATATCTCATCTTTTTTTTTTCTGACTCTGGATCACACGAGCTGCCGGTCCACAACTTGGAGATAAAAAAAAGTTTGGGGTTGGTATGATTTCGTTTTTTTTAAAGAAGTCTTTTATGCTCACCAAAGCCGCATTTATTTGATCAAAAATACAGTAAAACTAATGTTGTAAAATAATATTACAACTTGAAATATATTACAATAGAAAACAGTTCATTTAAAATGCAATTTATTCCTGTAATGGTAAAGCTAGATATTCTCATCCATGTTTTGCCCTGTGACATCTATGTGCTGACCAGAGCAGATACAAAGGCCCCTTAAATAAAACATGTCTTCCAAGAACAAGTCAACAAACATTTAATCAATCAGTTAACAAAGGTGAGGGGAGGTGGAGAGAGAAGAATGTGTGATGTGAGGTTGAAATGCAGTCTACTTTTGGGCAGGCATAAGGTCATCTATGGACTGGTCTTTCTCCAGCCGTTTCTCCATCTCTATCATCAGCTTGACTCCATCCACCACCATCTGCACCAGCTCCACCTCAGAGAAGCCCAGGCGGTCAGCGTTGGAGATGTCAAAAGTACCACCCACAGCTGCAGTGTCCACACCACCTAATGAACAGAGGCACCACTTTATTATTGCCATCAGTTTACATGATGTATTTCTGTTCACGATGCTCAGTAGTAACAGTAATGTGCTGTTAAATGTTTTCCAGCTGAAATCAGTTCTTACCTGTTCCACGTTTCTGCAGCCTCAGTCTCAGAAGGATCTCTTCAAACTGGCGGTACTTGCTGAGATTAGGCAGTTTGACATGCACTCCTGCACGCAGGCCTGTGCCGAGGTTGGATGGGCAGGTGAGGACGTAGCCAAGGTGCTTATTCCACATGAACGAGTGACCCTTGTTTTTGAACAAATCCTCAATCTGAAAGAACAATCAGTTGTTGTTTTTTGCAGCTCTGTTCAAGCCATTATTTATCTAAAGTGTCTTGCGTACCCCAGAAATATTTTCATTTACAAGATAAAGCACATTTGAGGAGGAAGCAGTTTCAGGATATTTAAAATAAAATATCTGTAATTAGTGTGTTTCAATACAAGATGCTAAATCCAGTTGTTATTTAAACTTTGACAGGATGGTCTCCACAAGGGTTCTTCTCAAAGCTGTTTCAAAAGAATGTATTGGCAATAAAAAATAATTTGCAACGCGAAAAGCAAAAAACAAACAAAAAGGATAACTATAACGTTTTAATAATCATACCAATTCTGTGAGAATAGGGAAGTCCATACCATAACAATAACGTGCAATGATAAGTGGCCTATTTCATAAAGCCGGTTTTAGAGGATATACTGTGAACAAAACTTTGATTTTTGGAGTTGAAGATACGGGATTGGTAACTTGTGCTACGTGGTTAATCCGCTCCACTCCAGAGCAGGTTTTATTTTGATTAAAGACCCGTTCAAAATAAACCTATTCTGAAACTCAGTTTGTTCAACTAGCAACAGGACAACAGTTGCAATCACTTTCAGAACAAGTTTTTCCAGCTGATGAATGATAAAAACATTGACAGCCAATCAGAATCCACCCAACTTTAATGAGCTCATGCAGCACGCTTATAATAAATGTTATTGTGCGTTGGTGTGGGCACTGATATAGTGATCATTCTTGGTGTGAACGGGCCTTTAGGATTACAGGGATGTAATACCTTAGTGAGACCCGTGCAGAAACGGGTGAAGACCTCTTTCATGTTGCCACCTTTCTCCATGGAGATGACACGTAGGTGGTCCTCCTCATTCACCCACACAAGGAATGTCTTGGTGTCATTGTGCCTGGAAACAAGGAGAAAATGAGTGAGGGAATGTCTTCTAAGTCCAGCACAGAAATGCAATGGTTAAGCCAGAATGAAATGCTTTCCCAGTAAAGAACGATTGCCAGAGTATGGTGTCTGATGTATAAACACAGATTTCTATAAATATAAATTAAATAAATATAAAAACTGGATACAAATTGTATCTGATAAAAAAAAAAATCATATTTTTATAAAAATGAAGTAAAGTGCATCTGACACTAATCTAAACTGTAGAACTAGAAGAAATTCTAAGAATCAATTTGTTCCAATTAATGTTGAGCCAGTACTAAAAACCAACCATTTTCTCAGCACATTTGATGCTGCGTGGTTTTAGTGTAAGACTGCTAAAAATATGCAGATCAAATTGCTGTTGCTGCATGTATTTGTAGGATCTGGAACAAACTGACAGGAAGTAGGTTCTTCTCAACAAAAGTAGCACACGCAGTGCATTAGGGCAATCTAGAACACTGACCAGATACCCCTGGCGTCGGGCCAATCACGAGCCATCCCTGAGGCCAGCAGCAGGGGAGACACAGGCTTGTCGAACAGGAAATGGTCATCGATGAGCTGCTGCTGCTCGGCATCTGTCATGTTCTTCAGAGCGTAGTATTTCCCTTTGAGATCCCCAGACAGGACACCCAGAGCTACAGCAGACAGATCAACAAATCTGTTACTAATTCCTTTATCTTTTCTAATTTTTAAATAAATAATTTCTTAACGAAACATCCTAGACTACGGATTAAAATTTCTTTGTAAGGAGTATAACTCCTTCTTTGTAAGGAGCTACACACTCAAAAGTAAACACTTTGAGTGTGTAGCAGGAGAAAACAGAAGTTTTTGGGACATACTACCACATAACTGCATCTTTATCCGACCAGGTTGTAGCACAGTTACATGCATCCTGTCACAGTAAACTCGCCTGTCAATCATCTTGTCACAGTTACCATTCTCATATACACACTCTACATTTCAATTCATTTGATTTATGCTACTCAATTCTTCCTACCAGATTGGAGAGAAAATAGGCATTACATTGATCTGCCAGTCATGGGTCTTTCATGCAGAAAGCTCTCATGTTTTTGCATGATACAATTGGAAAATCTTTTTGAAAAAAAAAAGTTCACACTGTTTTTCATCAGATTAGATAAGTAAGGGATAATTCGTAAGCGGAGGGTGGTTGCCTCTACGTTAGCTGTATGAATTTAAATAAATGTGATAAATCATTCAAATAAAAGCAATCCGATGGCTCTACTTTATTTAAAGCGGACGGAGTGCTAGAACTAACTTAAGAAAATAACCGTCATTTTTACACGTCTGTTAAAAAATTACACTGTAAAACATCAGTTACAGCTTTAACTTCTTTTTAACTTGGCAAATAACCGAGGTATAAGCGGGATAATCCACGGCTAGCCATGCATGTAATTTTTTAACAGACGTGTAAAAATGACGGTTATTTTCTTAAGTTAGTTCTAGCACTCCGTCCGCTTTAAATAAAGTAGAGCCATCGGATTGCTCTTATTTGAATGATTTATCACATTTATTTAAATTCATTATTAAAAGAGAGAGAGAGAGAGAGAGAACTGAAAGAGAAGGAACAGAGAGAGAGAGAGAGAGAGAGAGAGAGAGAGATGCGTGCGCGAGTTACCTGTGTGCGTCTCTTCTTTAAAGTCTGCAGTCCCCTCGTTGCTTAAGCATATAGCTAACTTAATGATTCTATAATGGATTTATTAAAATTATTTATGAATGACAGGCAACACTGACAGTGACAAGGCAATCTTTATTTGAACTAATCATGTCATTTATTTAAATGAATTAGCTGTATGTCAAACCAAACTTTTACAAGTCCTGTGGGTGTGAAAGGGGAGAGTGCAGGTGCATTTCTAATTTTCTCCAAGTCAGACTCAGTAATACGCGGATGATGAACGCTGGTGTCTTTTCCATTTAACTGTGTTTCTATGGTTACCAATGTTTATAGTAGCGGATTAATTTCAAACTGTAATCAAACTGACTGGAACTAACTGTGCATTAAACGGTTTTACTGCACACCTTCCAGCCAATCAGAATCGAGTATTTAAACAGCCCGTGGTATAATGATTACCGTATTTTCCTCACTATAAGGCGCACTTAAAAGCCTTTAATTTTCTCAAAAAACGACAGTGCGCCTTATAATCCGGAGCGCCTTATATATGGATCAATTGGTTAATAACGCTCCGCGTTATTAAATTCGCCCGCTAACTCGCGCTCGTGTCCGTAAGTTACGTGCCCGCCCCAGCCCGCTCACACTTATTAATAAATGCCTCGCCTTCGGCGCCGCGCACTCGCTACAAAGCTCTCAGAAAACATTCCCCGTTCAAGGTAACCGGGGCGTCATATATGAAACAGCGTGCCATTGCTGTCAGCGAGCCGCCGTATCTAAGCACTCATACCAGTCAGATTGTGAATGTATGTCGCGAGCTCGCTCACGAGCAAGCACGCTTACTATCAGATCACTCAAATGTTCAGAGGGCTCGCGACATACATTCGATATATATGTCGTACATTCCCTTTAGCACATCTAGTGGATGCATAACGCAAACCCAGGCAAACGTTTGACTGCAGTATCTTATGCGCCTTATAATCCGGTGCGCCCTATATATGAAAAATGTTCTAAAATAGGTCATTCATTGAAGGTGCGCCTTATAATCCGGTGCGCCTTATAGTGCGGAAAATACGGTATTAGAATCACTCAAACCCCTTTATATAAGCCTCAACTTGATTATCTGTCTCGCACTTTCACCATGTTTTTTAGTTTAACACTTAAGATTTATGCTGCAGTGATATTTTAGTATCAGTGGGATACTATTATAGTTTTTATTCATATTTTAAATGAGTTTTCATTTTTATTACAGGGCTCGAAATTAACTTTTTTACCTGGTAGCACTGGTGCTCCGAACTTCAAAAAGTTAGGAGCACCAGCAAAAATTTAGGAGCACCCACCAAATTTGACGTTTAGCTCTGCCAGAAGAGCGGAACGACCGGCAGCATTCTGATGATTAAAAGCCTTAATAATCAAACCTGATTTGTTTTCCACACACTTGTCCCTGCATTTTTTTTGTGCTTGGCACTCTCTCCTTGTTTAACCAAGCTCTTGCGCTTAAAATTTATTGGTTTTCGGTGGTGGCCGATGGACATTGTCATCCTTTCTTGCCCTGGTTTTTTTTTTTTTTTTTTTATTAAAGCTGTGATTTTACCACTGTATTTCATAGCTTTGTAAGATAAAATCCTTCTTTGCTAAACCTAATCATCATTTTGGTATATCATCATATCAATATCAAAAACTACAATAATAAAGTAGCATTAAAAAGTTTATTTTAACTAATTTTCTACCATATACAATTGAATACAATTAGCAGCTAGCTAACAACAACTTGATTTGCACTTTTTGTTTCTGGTTTCACCTCACTCCAGTCTAAACTAAAAGTTTTGGGTTTTTTTGGTAAGTTTTCTTCACATTGTCATATAAATAACCTGAATACTGTAGTTTATTAAGGTTAAATCTTCCTAACCACTCTTACTAAAAATAAATGGGGTACGCACACTTACATTCTCATTTTAAGAGGTGTTCTGAGTAAATGTGGTTTGATTGGTTAACATTAGTTAATGCATTAGGCTAACTAACATGAACCATGAGCAATACATTTGTTACTGTATTTATGAATCTTTGTTAATCTAAGTTAATAAAAAATACAGCTGTTCATTGTTTGTTCATGTTACTTCACAGTCCATTAGGCTATGTTAACAAATACATCTTTTGATTTCAATAAGGCTACTATTAATGATTAAATTAGCATTAACAAAGATTAATAAATGCTGTAGAAATGCAGTTTATTAATAGTTAATGTTAACTAATGTAGTTAACTAGAGTTTAATAAATTGAACTTTATTGTAAAGTGTTACCGATTTGTTATACAACGATGCAGACATCTCGTGAGTTCAGTGTTGGACAGATCAGTTGTTTTAACCATTCATTAAATGGAATCAGTTCAAAGGAGTCATTAGTTCGCGAATCGGACGTGTCATTAGCGGACGTGTAGGCTACGGTACGCATTGTTGTGTGATTATCCCAGCAGTTTAGGACATCGCACAAGATTTGTGTCAACACAGAAAACATTTCATCACTGGATAGTTTGTTTTGTTTATTGAAATTGAGGTTTATGTCAGCTGAATGTGCGGAACGCTTTTTTTTGTTGCACAATTCACACCCTGAGGGTAATTCAGGAGAAAAATCTCCGAATGCTTCACGTGAAACTTCGGTCTTCTTACCTTTTACCATCGTGTCAATTCTCGATTTCGATTAATATGCGTGAGGGAGGGAGAGCAAGACTGTTTGAAGACTGTGAGAGTGCGCGCGCGCGACCGTCTCTCTCTCTCTATCTCTCTCTCTCTCTCTCTCTCTCTCTATGCTCGTTCTTTCAGTAATATGAGCCTTGTCACAAGCGCAGCCGTCAGTCATCTATCACTCACCAATCAAAAAAGGCTTTGGCGGTCGCCAAAAAAATTCAATGCAGGAAAAACCTCGTTTCATCTTCTCTCTTATTCAGCCTTTTAGTCGCGCGGTAGTCAGCTCCCTGTCACGTGACAACGGAGCGCAGCGTAAGTGAATGGGAGTGATTGACAGCTAATATTAACCTATCTAAAATCTGCTTTAAAGTTAGGAACGTAAGGATGAAGTTTGATTGGATGTAATCGTTGGATAAAATGATGGTCCGGCCACCGCGTATCAGTGCACATAAGGTATACACTGAGCAGTAATTTTGAAAAACGTTTTTGTAGAGAAATAAAAACAGGTCGCACCACAACCATTATTTGCACTCGCACAGATGCTCCCAAATATATTTTTAGGTCGCACAGATTAAATTTGAGGAGCATATGCGACCAAAATGGTCGCAATTTCGAGCCCTGTATTATAAAGTTTTAGTAATTTTGTTGTGCATCATAGTAGTTTGAGTTAGTTTTATTTTATGTTATGGTTTTCGTTTTAGTTAACTAAAGTAACCCTGGTGTGTAGTTGAACCAAACCGAATCCTCCTCCAATGCACAATGGGTTGTAGGCGATATTAGCTGTTAAAGTCAAGTGTGCATGGACTTGCAATTTCTACAAATAGTAGATCATCCAAGTATCTTTGTGATACTCATTTCAACATACTACAGTTTGGGACACACTAATTATAATTTCAAATACTATTTTAGGATGGATAGTCTGCAAATTGGGATGGAGCAGATCTTTCTTGTTATGTTTCAAATAAACCGATGTGGTGCTGCAGTGATGTACATGTACCTTCCACAGAGAGCTTCTCAACGGCTCTTCTCTCTCCACGACTGCAGTGTGGCGGCAGACAGAATCCGCGAATGCTCCTGCCTGTTCTGACGCGAGAGCTCAGCACGTAATCGGAGTCCAGGTCATCCCCACCCTGCAGGAACAAACAGTTTTAGCCTTTTGAATAACCAATATCACTGTGTCAGTGCAACAACAAAAAACTCATCAGAAGGTTGTATTTTGAAAATGTCTCAGCGGTTTTGTCTGTACAATGAAAGTGAGTGGGGTCTAATGTTGTTTTGGACAAAAACATTCTTAAAACATCTTTTGTTGTGTGTGTCTTTGAAATAACATGAGGGTGAGTAAATGACAGAATCACTTCTGGGTGATCTATCACTTCATCTTCATACCTTGAGGTTACTGGGGTTGAGGTCAGTCTTGTGTTTGTCTGTAGGCTTGTATCCTCCATGTCTGTCCTGAATAATAGGGTCCAGCAGGTCCTTGAACACCTCATAGGTCTCTTCATCCCCAGCCACACAACCCACAGTCATAATGAAGGGGTGGCCTGAGATGGGGAAAAAGGTCCATGCACACAAATTAGGAGCAATGCACCTCAGAAGCCGGCACTAACTAAAACCATCCATGCTTAACATCAAGTGCTTTCTCTTAGGACTATCTAAACCCTGACCCTGACCCCTGACAGACTATGCATATTCGTTTACCAGGATTATCTACTCCAGTCTGAATGACGTTATCGATGGTGAAGCCATTGGGTGTGCATTGCTGACGGAGGCGTTTGTACATGTCCAGAGTGAGGACTTTGGCCATATGGTTGCAGTGCTCTGTGAGGTCTGGAAACTCATCCTCAGCTGGCCGTTGCTTGATGACCAGCCTGGCTAGCTTAGCATTGCTAAATAAATACAACACATGGGGTGAAAAAAACACACACTACACTTTGCTGCCAAAGGCTGAGTTCTGTTGGGTTCTGAATAGGTTAGCACCATTTGTCTCAACAAATACTTTGAGCATTCTTTCCTTTCCGAAAACAGTGTTTATGACCTGTTTTAGGCCAATTGTATTTTATTATCCATGCCAGGCAGGTTGGTCTTAATCTATACAGGAAATGTTTTTATTCGATGCCCTCTGCACCAAAACACAAGTCAGCAAGGCCACGGTCTAACACACAACTATATTAACACTTCTTTCTGATTGTAGTGTAATGCTCGCAATACACCTATATTACACCTGTATGTTCTAAAAGCGCACGAGAGCTGGTCTTTAGAGAACTTTGAGTTGCTTCGGGCCTTTACCTGGGTAATTACATCATCCAGTGTAAACCCGCTGGGTGTCTTTTTGGAGCGCAACTTCTCATACAGCACCGTTGTTGTGAGGACCTTGGCCATATGGTTGTTGTGCTTGCTGAGGTCGGGGTATTCCTGCTCACAGGTGTTCTGGTTGTGACTGTTCCCGAAAGGCATGGCTGCTGTTCGCTGAGCACGGTGGGATTGGGATGGAAAATAACTGTGGTTACACTGAATGTGAAATAAAGCCAAGAGGCATCCTTTCATGGGTTTTCATGGAGAAATATTCATAGAGTTGAAGTAGTATCAATACAAGATGGAAACTGTTTTTGAGACTAACTACTTTTATGCACGTGATAAGCGTTACATTTCTACACGAGTAAAAATGGCAAATGATAAGTATGACCAATATGTGCTATGGTTCAACATAGAAATACTCATATAGGGTTGTCTTCTATTGAACACAAAAAAAGAAATTTCGAATAATGTTAGTAAGCAAACAGTTTCTGGTCCCCATTGACTTCCATGGGGACCAGCAACTGTTTGCTTACTAACATTCTTTGAAATCTATTATTTTGTGTTCAATAGAAGAAATATATCCATACAGGTTTAGAATAACTAAGTTAGAGGATGAGAGAGCAGCTCTGTAGGATGGACCGTTATCAAGCAAACTAGCCGCACACACGTGTTGTAACTTACTTTCTTTCTGCTCTCTCCCTAATATAAAATTATAGAAACGGTGAGTTTTTGAGTCTTTCTTTATGTTAAACATACCTCTATGTCGAACGATGTACGTTCGTTCAGACATGTCAGTCAGACGTTTCCTTTCCAGCAATGCGTGTAACGTTAACGTTATAACGGTTAGTTGCTAACGTTACTGTGTTTAAGTTAACTTACTCTTTGAAAACACTTCAGTTTGTGCTCGATGTAGCCTAATGAATGCTCTTTTTAAAAAGTGTTATTTCACATTCGATGTAACGTTAGCCCTCCTATAAACACGATCTTTTAAAAATATTTATATTTCCAAGTAACGTAACGTTAATCGATGTTTGCTCACACAATCGAAGTCGCTGTTTAGCGAATCCGTTCCTCCTGTTCATCTCGTCATTTACGACAGTGACCTTGCTGAATCTAATACACAATAACAGAAATGTTCAGAGATATCAGTAAGTGCGTAATTAACAGATTAACTTACATATTTCCCATTTGGTTTGCTGTTCTGAACTGTTTCCGGACTGCGGTTACACAGAATGTGATTGGTAATGTTCAGGTTTGACAGGTTCTTCAACGGTCGGTCACTCTAACGGTTTACAACGTAAACGTAATTTAAATCAAAATACGCACTGGCTGGATTTTGAGTTAGTTGACGACGTTCGTGTTTTTATTTGAGATTATAGGCTATGTGTATCTTAATATATTGGGTAAAATATTAAACGTTTACATTTGTAAACCGTAAACGGTCATTCTATGAAAATGGTGGCTTTTTGAACAGACAACTTTTAAAAAATGTAATTCTTTTTTTTATACCAAAACTTATAGTCAGCTAATAGTTAACCTCTTAACATTATAAATCAACTTAAATGACAGCTTAATGTATTTTTATATTTTTACTACATTACATAAAAAAATGCTTGAGCTGCCTTTTTGTCACTGGTGTTACCTATATTTTAGATGACAATTCAGGCTTTCCAGAATGTAATTTGACCATTTTATTTGCATACATAATCAAAGAAAGAAAAAGTTAATGTAATATTAAGAAATTGTCTTTATTAGTAATAATTTGCTTTAACCAGGTATGTGTAAAGTTCTATTGTGTGACATTTTTTTATTTCTACAATTGTGTTTTTTGTTGTAACATTAGAAATAATTGAGGTCGAGTGATCAAAATTGAATGATCATATCCTTAAAATGCTTACTAATGAACGCAGCAACAGTTAGGTAGATACAAAAACCATATTCTATAAAAACTGGGCTACTCTGATGCCAGAACACCAATATCCCATGCAGTAACACCAGTGACGCAATGTAACACCAGTGACGCAATGTGAAACCAATGACATAACATAAGATTATTTCAAACAAATTTTTATCAATTTATTAGTAATATTTATTGTTGAGGCTTTTATGAAACCTTATGTTGAGAAAAACGTTAGTGGTGTTATTGATTGTCACTGGTGTTATCGTCATGTCACTGGTGTTACCAGCAGTAACAGTAACACCAGTGACGATAACACCAGTGACAAATCTGCAGACAAGATAACATATCTAAGATGGCTACCACAGTAGCTCAAAACCACACTTCTTAAATTGTAAATAAATTACTTAATCATGCAATTTGAACAATTATTTTAATCAAATTTCCTTTTCCCTTACTATAATCTGTAGAACACCAGTGACACATCTTAAGTCCTCGCATGAAATTATCAAATGATTTATCAAATTGCTAAAAGATGAAGAGAGAGTGCAAACTGACCATGTGCTTTTCAAAACAGCCCCTCCTCCAAATTAACCTTTGACCCAGAAAGAAGTTGGCAAGGATGTTGCATTATTTCAAAGTAGTGGTTTTTATAAATTGTAACACCAGTGACATGAAATTGAGGGACAGCTATTCCCTGTAAATTATTTATAATATTTAGTTAATATTTTAGTTTTTTTAAGTAGTCCACTAAATAAATATACTACTTTCCTTTGTATTATGACATTTAAAGGCGGAGAAAAATATATTTTTTAAATCAAAATACGTCACTAAACCACGACTCCTGACCAGAGGGACAAGCCAATTTCATGGTACTGACCGTGTTCTACAATATATTAAAAAAATTGTTTGCAATATAACTGTCTTACAAATGTTTTATTAACAATAAAACACTTCAATTAAAACAAAAAACATATATTTGGTGTCATTATCTGACATTTTTAAGTGTTTTTCCTGGTGGTTAAGGCCGGGACAGGAAAGCCACCATTTTCGTAGAATGACCTTACTTTCAGTATAATATTAGATTTGTTTTTATTTTAACTTAATTTTAATTTATTATTACTTTTAACTTCCAAGTGTCTTTATTTTTACGTTTCTATTTAATATTTAAAAACCTGCAATTCTTGGCAATCCAATTTTTGGTTTGTCTCTCTAAAAGTACAGACATGAGTTTGACAGGATTTTAAAAGCATGACAGCATATTGCCATCTTGTTTATAATCAAGTTATAATTAATAAAGTGTCTGAGTCTGTTTTATGCTTTTTTATCAACACAAATTTTTTTTTTAAAGATGGGAATATCAATATTCAATTTAGTCTATGAAGTAATATGATGGAATATAAATATGAATGTAAAATGTTTTGTCCATTAACTTATGAGAATAATGTTTTTGTGTGTTTTCATTTATGGCAGACCAGCGTAATTTAATCATCCAAGGCCACACTTTTCAGGGAGGCTGCAGACCTGGAACAGGTGTTGATATACGGCCCAGGAAGTTTTACACCCCTGTTGTTCTTGATGCGTCCAGTAGTAGGACGCACTATGGATTGAATATCTGTAGATATTCAGTTGGGCTTCACTCTCTTCACTCAGCCTATAGAAGACTATTTGTTTTTGTGAATTAAAAAAAATTAATAATAGGCTACGGTAATACTTTGCCACGAGAAAAGACAGTAGCCTAACACGCAGAGACCTTTCCTGCTGACCGGATGCCTCCATTGGGGTGATTGAGCGCGGGCTTACACACATATACAGAGTTGGTTATGTCTGTAATAAGACGTTAATACAATTAATGTTTATATAAATATATTATATTTAATATAAATAAATGGGAAATATTTTAAGATATGGCTCATATGACCTCTTTGCCATTGCCAGAACTGTGGCAAATTAGGCAATGTATGGAAATGTATGCTCTTTTTCATGAAAGATCAAATCCAATTTTTATTATAATTAGTTAGAAAACGACTATTATTACTTAATATTGTGAAATACATTTTTGGTCACCCCTAAGGGACGTTTATGCAGGTATTAAGTAAGCAGGGCGTCGTCAGGCAGATAGCTTAGAAATATTTGCATTACTTTGGATTTGTAACATAAAAGATAAGAATGGAAAAATGGAAGTTATATCATTGTTAAATGTGAGGTCAGAGATGTTTATCATCATTTTTGTTTAAGTGTTTTAATTTTTCCCCCCTTTGTTTCAGAAAAACCTTCAAAATGTAAGAAGATGAAAGAAAAGTCTTCTTTCTTGAAGAGTATATGGACGGCTATGACGAGTTCGTTGAGCTGTTGTGACAGTAAAGCTGTGGATGTTGGAGCCTTTCGTTCCTCCACTAGATCTGGACCCAGAGCCTGATTCTGATCCAGATCACTCCGGCGTCGAGCCATATCATGGTAAATCTGCAGTCATTATTTCGCAAACATTGTTTTAAAACAGTATTATCGTCTTGTTTTCCAATAAATATATCTTAAGGCTTGTTTTCAGAGAATATTAATAATATTTTCTCCATATTCATATTATTTTCCCCACATTAATATTATTATCTCGACACAACCAGCGCTGATATTCTTAATATAAAACAAAGGATTTAGCAAGCTCATATATTTCTCACATTTTTCTGTTTGTTTTTCAGACTCCTTTGAGTCTCTCTATAACATGGGAGCGATGATTGGATATGGAAGAGAGTTTGAGGGAACACGCAAATTTGATGGCAAAAAGGTAAAGCAATCGTGCTGAATTGTATAAACATTTTGCTCTTGCATCAAAACATATTTAATACAGATGGTTTAATACTTAAATGCTCAAAACGTAAATGTTATGTGCAAGATCAGGCTCTTTTTCATTTTTGCAAGTTGCCATCAAGCGGATGCGCAAGCTTTGCCATGATATTTATCTTTATATTGTAAGTTGGCCAAAAGCTGAATGTGTATTTAGTTGTTTAAGTGCTGATTACTGTAGTTAATACACCTGCATCTACCAAAATAAAAGAAAAAAACATTTAAAAACAAATTTACCCAGCTAACCTTACCCAGTCTTCTACTTTTCTCCAGCCTGGGCATCCCAAACGTCTCATTACAGAAGTGGCTCTGCTGCTAAAGATGAGGCAAGAACCCATAAGCCCCTTCGTCATACAACTACACGATTGGTTTGAACTCCATCACCTTCACCTTCAGCTTCCTCAGCAAGGCGGTTGTCATCTTAGCGGTGTGTTTGGGGTCGTTATCATGCCGTTCGGCCCAGTTTCTGAAGGGAGGGCATCATGTTCTGCTTCAGAATGTCACAGTACATGTTGGAATCCATGTTTCCCTCAATGAAGCGCAGCTCCCCAGTACCAGCAGCACCCATGCAGCCCCAGACCATGATGTTACCACCACCATGCTTGACTGTAGACACAATGTTCTTAGTACTCCTCACCAGGGCGTCGCCACACATGCTGGACACCATCTGAGCCAAACAAGTTTATCTTAATTCACGGATTTCAGGACCGTAATTCATGCTTAGACAGGTTGTCTTCAGCAAACTGTTGAGCCAGTTTAAGAAGAGGCTTCCTTCTGGTATGACGGCCATGCAAACCGACTTGTTGCAGTGTGCGGCGTATGGTATGAGCACTGAGAAGCTGACCTTCTGCTTCTGCAACCTCTAAAGCAATGCTGGCAGCACTCATGTGTCTGTTTTTTGAAGCCAGCTTCTGCACCTGACGCACAGCACGAGGACTCAACTTCTTTGATTGACCCTTGCGAGGCCTGTTCCTAGTGGAACCCGTCTTGGAAAATCTCTGTATGACCCTGGCAACTGTAGCCTACTGTAAGTTCGACGCAGAAGTATAAATTCGACGCAGAAGTATAAATTGGGTGTAACTCAGTTTCAGGGTGTTACCAATCTTCTTATACCCTAGGCCATCTTTGTGGAGAGCAATTATTGTAATTCTCAAATCCTTAGAGAGTTCTTTGCCATGAGGTGCCATGTTGAACATCCAGTGGTCAGTATGAGAGAATTGTACTCAAATCACCAAATTTTAAGTGCTCTAATACAAGATACACAAATTTGTATGGTCCTGTCAAGCAGACAAAAATATGAATAGGACATGTGGCTTTGCATGGTTAACCGACGTACAGCTATTATCACTTGTACTCACTTTTGTTGCCAGCTATTTTGACAATAATGGCTGTATTGAGTTATTTTCAGAGGACAGTAAACATAAATTGCTATACAAGCAGCACATTGACTACTCTAAAATATATCCAAGTTTCATTTCTGTAGT